CCAAAATCCAGGGACAGCCCCCATTGGTCCCGCGGGCGCCCAATCTCTGCCTTGTTGTGGTGGGAACAGCAGGCAACGGGGGCTTGGCTCCCCCTCCTCACCCCCTTCCTCCTCCTCCTGTTGCCGGGAGGAGCTGCGGGGTCCGGGGGGCCCCTGGATCCCACCGAGGAGGAGGAGGAGGAGGGGGGAGAGCAGGGCTTTGTCCAGACCCACAGAGCAGGAAAAAGGAGGGGGAAACCCCAAACCAAGCCAAAGAACCCCCCTGGAGGGGCTTTGGGGGCACTGCTGCAGGGGGCACCGGCAGCTGCAGCCCCCCAAAATCCCAGCGGGGCTCTGGGGTTCTCCCAAGGATTCTCAGGGGATGCCAAAACCCAGCAGCTCTCACTGGGTGCCCCATGGGGAGCAGCAGGATTTCTGCAGAACCCCCCAGATTTTTCCCTGAAAACCCCGAATTCCGCCTCCACTCCTTTCCACATTTTCCCCTCCCAGTTCTCCTCATCCCCTCGCTTTTTTTTTCTTCTTTTCTTTTTTTTTTTCCCTACCTCCCCTTTTGCAGCCTCCCTCCCTCAGCTCCAACACTTCCCAGACTGTTTGTAAACATTCCCTTTAGGATGTTTCCCTCAGGAAACGCAAATTTCTGCTGGAAAACAACCCCTCCAAATATTTCCTCTCGGAGAAGCGCAAAAAAAAAAAAAAGAGAACACAAAAAAAAAACCTCAAAACCAAAATAAAAAGCAGCGAGGCAGCGGGTGCTGGGCTCATCCCAGCGCTTCCAGAGGGATCCAGGATGGGAAAAACCCTCTCCAGGAATGGGGACAGGAGCTCGGGACAGGTCCCAGAGCGGTGGTGGCACTCAGGGAAGTGTCACCGGTGTCACACCCTCGATTGCCCGATTCTTCTCGGATTTAACCCAAAACTTCTCCTGGCCGGGGGAGGCTCGGGGACAAAGGGACAAGGGGTGGGCAGCTCCCGCCGCCGCCGCAATTAAAGATGATAATTAATAATAATCAACTGTCGGGGTCCGGCCGCAGCAGCTGGGAAGAGATAAGGAAAAAATAGGAAAATTGCCGGGAGGGGGATCCCACCCCTGGAACGGGCTGAGGGTCGGGGGGATGAGGGGTCCTGATCCCACAGCTCCAAAATGCAGCTGGAATTTGGGATCCTGGGGGGGTTTGGGGTCTCTCCACCCGCTCCCCTCTGAGATCCCCAACACTTTTTGGGGACCGTGGGGAGCGTCCTGCTCGGCGGGCGGCGTTTTGGGAACGGGAGGCAGAGATTTGGGCAGGAAATTCCCGATCTGTTCAGCTCCCATTCTTGCGTCCCCCTTTTGTTCCCCCGGCCATCTGTCCCGCTCGCCCCCTCTGCACGTGCCATAAATATCAAGCCGGGCTTTGTCTCGGCCCCAAAAGGCAGCGTGGGCCCCCCTAAACCCCCCTAAAGCTGCTGGGGGCCGCGGGAGGGGTCTCTGGTTTGGGGGGCACGGGCTCAGCATCGCCCTTCTCCCCCCTCCTGCTACCCCAGGAGGTTTTGGGGTGGTTCTGAGACCATGGGGTCCGTGAGAACGGCCTTGGGATGGGGCTGAACCCCATTAAAAAAGGGAGAAATGGGAATTCTCAGCCCGAATGTCGGGGTAGAGCTTCACTCTACACCCCAAGATCTGCTGGTGGCCCAGAGGGGAATTTGTGGGGTAGATCCTCTGTGGGATCCCTCCCAAAACGGGAGCACAACTCCCAAAAAATCCAACAGATCTGCCATAAATGGAGGCAAACGCTCTCCCAGAGCCAGGGGATTGGGTTCCGAGGCAGGAGGGACAATCTCTGGGAAGGGGGGATGAGTTTGGAGCGAGCCCCACTGCCGCATCTCATCCCAGTCCAGGTTTTTAACCCCAATAAAGCGGCACCCGAGGCAGGCGGGGCAGCGGCTCCGCTCCAGCCTCGCCCTTCCCTGTTTTATCCGGTGCCACGACGGGAACAACTCCCGGCTCAAAGGGCATTGTCCGGGGGAAAGGAGCCTCGCCCTCCGGGAGCCGCAGGCTCGGGGATGTTGTTCCCTCCAGGCCGGTCCCGGTGACATTTCCCCGATGTCCCTGTCGGGTCGGTCCCGGTGACATTTCCCCGATGTCCCTCTCAGGACGGGCACGGTGACATTTCCCCGATGTCCTTCTCGGGACGGGCACGGTGACATTTCCTCGATGTCCCTCTCGGGACGGGCACGGTGACATTTCCCCGATGTCCCTGTCGGGACAGGCACGGTGACATTTCCTGGATGTCCCTCTCGGGCCGGTCCCGGTGACATTTCCTCGATGTCCCTCTCGGGCCGGTCCCGGTGACATTTCCTCGATGTCCCTCTCGGGAGGTCCGGAGGTCACACGGGGGTTGTGTCCCCACCAGGAGCTGCCCCATCCCCGCTGTGCCAGGCACAGGGATCCCCACGGGGATCTTCGGGTGCCCCAAAACATCCCCAAAGCCATCCTGGGGTCACCCCAAATCCTTCTCCCTTTGCCTGGTGGGAGCTGGCCAAGCTGGCAGGGATTTTTAGGGATGCTGCCGAGTTTTAGGGCAGAAGGGACACAGAGCACCTCAAATGGCACCCGTGGAGTTTGGATGTGGCCCACGGGACCCTCTTGGGTGTCACCTGCGTGGGACACGGCAGAGGGGGGAGATCCATGAGCTCTCTGGTGCTTCCAGAGGTGGGAATGTTCTCCATGGGACACGTCGGGCTCATCCCAGGGGAAGGAGAGGCCGAGGAGAGCAGCGGCTCCAAGCCCTGGACAAGCCCCGGCAGCTGCTGGGGGGGCCGGGCCGGGGCTGCCCCGGGCTCTGCGTTCCCAGCCCAGACACGGCTCCAGGGAAAAGGGAACTGCCCCAGACAGGGAACGCAGCCTCCGGCTGTCCCTCCCCATCCCACTGCTCCGGGCTCTGCCAGGGGTGGGGACACGGCTCCCCTGGGGACAGGGGACACGGCTTCCCTTGGGGACAGGGAACTTGGCATTCTCTTGGGGACAGCATTTACTGGGGACAGGCGACACAGCTCCCCTTGGGGACAGGGGGCATGGCATTTCTTGGGGACAGGGGACACAGCATTTGTTGGGGACAGGGGACACAGCTCCCCTTGGGGACAGGGGACACAGCATTTCCTGGGGACAGGGGACACGATGTCCGTTTGAGATGTGGGAATGATGTCCCTTGAGATCGGGGGCACGGAATTCCTTTGAGATGCGGGAACAGCCTCCCCTGGGGACAGAGCCCCGGCGTGTCCTGGTGCCGAGGGCACAGCCACCCTCAGGGCTGCCACCGCTGTCCCTCCGAGGCCACCCAGCACCGGCAGCTCCCGGGGCTGAGCACGGGCTGCGAGCCCTCAACAATTCCCGTTTAAAATTAAAATTAAATGAAGATTAAATGAAGATTAAATGAAGATTAAATGAAGATTGAAAGCCCTGCGCACCCCCGGGCCCGGCGGGCTCTGCCCTGCCCCGGCTCCCAGCCCTTCCCTGCCGAACAAAAGGTGCAAAGTTCAGCGGGGCGTGAAAGGAGAAACAAAACCGCGGCCCTGGCGCTGCCCCCGCCCCCGCAGACAGATGGGGACAGTCGGGGAATTGTCGCTTGTCCCCGCACGGCACCAACAAATCCCCTTTATCCCCCAAGGGGCAGAAATGGGAGCGTTGGAGCCGGCCCAGGCCGGGAGCAGCTGCTGCGGAGGGGCCGGGATGGGGATGGGATCCATGGGAATGGGAATGGGAATGGGATCCATAGGATGGGATCCATGTGATCCACAGGATGGGATCCAGGGGATGGGATGGGGTGGGATCCATGGGATGGGATGGGAATGGGGTGGGATCTATGTGATCCACAGGATGGGAATGGGATCAGTGAGATGGGAATGGGATCCATGGGATGGGATCCATGGGATGGGATCCATGGGATGGGAACAGGGTGACATGGGGATGGTGTTAGGGTGTCCCCCTCCCAATTCCAACTTGTCCCCATTCCAGGTGGATTTTGTTGCTTCCAGTCTTTGCCGAGCACTCCAGGGGTATCCACACCCCCCACATTCCCTGAGGGAATTCCGTGGATCCCAGAAAGGCTGGAAAGGGCTGGCAGGGATGAAACCCCGAGCTCACGCAGCTCCCAGCCCAGGAACCGCCATCCCACCAGCACAAAAACGTCGGGGAAATTAAAAATAGCACCTCCGTCAGCGCCCCAGCGGCAGGGAGGGCTCGGCCTCCCAACACTCCCCACCTAAATTTTATTTTTATCCGGCCTGGGAGCGACCCAAATTTCAGCAGCAGCCCCAAATGCCAGCCACGGGTCAGGGCACGCCGGGCTGGCCTGGGAACGGGCTGGGAGCCCGGAATGCAGCTCCGGGCTGGAGCTGGGAAGGCAGAGGGAGGAAAAGGCTGGAGGAGCCGGGGATTCCTCCCGGTGAGTCCGCAGGTGAGCGGCGCCCAGCCCTGCCCCGGCAGCAGAGATAATTTGGGTGTGTTGGTGGCAGTGGAGGGGGAAATAAAAGAGGAGAGGCTTCGAGGCAGCGCCCAAATCCACCCACAAATGGTTGGGAGGAGGGGAGGAGCTGCTGGGTGCCCGGCAGGGGCAGAGGGGACACAGGGCTGTGTCCCCCCGGGGTATCCCCACTCACAGGGAGCCTGGCAGGTCAATCAAACCCTCCTAAATTCCATGGTAAAGGGAGTTTTGGGTCAAAATAAACACAAGCTGAGCCAAGGCCTTTAAAGGAAGTTTGGCGGCAGAGGGAATGGTGGCAGGGAGCTTGGCAGGTCAACCAAACCCTCCTGAATTCCATAAAAAATGGAATAAATTCCATAAAAAATGGAATAAATTCAATAAAAAATGGAATTTTGGGTTCAAGGTAAGCCCAAGCTGGTTGAGTCAAGGTTTTTAAAGTCCTGGTGGCAGAGAGGGGTCCCCAGCCTGGGAAGGGGGGACAGCTCCGAGTTTTTTCAGCGCCCCCAGAACAGGATGGGCCGTGACTCAGCCCCGGCTGCTTCGGTGGTGACGACACCGAGCATCATCCCCATCCCTGCCCCAAGGATCCAACCCCAGGCTGATCCCTCACCCTCCTGCAAGGACAGAGAGGCCAGGGAAGCTTCACCCTTAATCCCCCGCTTCCCAAAATTCCCATCAAATATTCCCAGGATTGGGGAGGGGAGATCCAGCAGGGTTTTTAACACCGGGCAGGACACGAGATTTCCACAGAGTCCCAAGGAGGAGGAGAAGAAGGGCAGGACACCCACAGCCTCTTCTGAGTCATTCCCAGCTGGAATTCCTGGAGTTTGGAAGGCCAGGAAGCTTTTTTGCCGAACCTGGGTGACGCAGCCGGAAATCTGCAGTCACCCCCACAACATTCCCAGGGCGGGGTTTGGGCTGAAATCCCAAATCCCAAATCCCAAATCTCCTCCCTGAGCTCCCAGGAATGAGGCAGGCCGGGTTACAATGCTACATTTTTATTAAAGTAACAAAAAAAAAAAAAGCCCGGGGGTCTGTACATTCCGGGTATAAAACGTTTCTGTACATCAGGAACCAGCTGCTCCCTCCTGCAATTCCTCACAGAATTCCCAACATTTTCACGCCCCCAAAAAAAGGGGGGGAAAAAAACAAAAAGGGGAAAAAACAAAAAGGGGAAAAAAACAAAACGGGGAAAAAACAAAACAGGGAAAAAAAACAAAAGGGGAGAAAAAAAGCGGGGGAAAAAAGGGGGAAAAAAGGGGGGGGAAAAAGGGGGGGAAAAAAGGAAAAAAAGGAAAAAAAAAAAAAAAAAAAAGCAGGTCCCGTTCAACAGTCCAGCTTGGTTAAAAATAAAAATAAAATATTAATAATGACAGAAACCCCCCTCAAAGACACTGTCTCAAAATCCACATCACATCAGGCTTGGAGGCAAAAGGCAGCAAGAGCACGGGAATTCACAGCTTTTGTGTCACCAGCTACGAGAGAGAAGTGGATTCTACCCAAATTTGGTTGGTTTTGAAGCTTTAAAAAATAAAATTAAAGAAAAAAGACACCTTGGACACGAGGCTCCTCCACCCCCGGGGTGAGGAGAGCGAGGCTGTTTTGGTTCTGGGGTGTTCCTTTGGTGGGAAACTCCTGGAAAACTCCTCTGGGGAGGAGGAGGGAATAAAACTTGGAGGCTGCTTTGATCCTGCCCGAATTCAGCCCCGAGCTCCTCCCGGGGTGGGCTCTCCACATCAGGCAGCCTCGAGTCAGGAATCCCAACAAAAAAAAGCAGAGATGACTTTTCCTGGAAAAGGGAATTTGATTTTTTTGGTCGTTGCCAGGCACTCCCCTGTGGGTGAGGTCACCTATTGCACAAGAAAAGCCCCCCCAGTGCTTCAGTTCCGCTTTGCTGACGTGAGAAATTCGAGTGAAAAGGGAAATGATGCAAGCCCAGACTCTTCTCTGATCTCCTCGGGCACAAACAGCGACCTGACACTTAAAAACAGAATAAAGGATTTGAGAATCGAGGCTGATTTTCCAGTTCTGGACTTGATGGAGCTTGCAAAAATAAAAAAAAAATCTGAATTTTCCAAGTCAAGGCCGGGTTGCTGGGCTGGATTATTTAATGTATTAAAGCTGGGAGCTTCCTTCCTCTCCCACAGCACCCAGGATTTGGAAATATATTGCACAAATGTCTGAGAACTTGAACAACTCTGCCTTTGCCACGTCAGGAAAAGGGGAAGTTTCAGCTTCACAATAATAAAAATTATTATCCAGGAAGTTTTGCTACAACCGAGCACATCCACGCCCCGATCTTCCCCCAGGACCCCCGGGGGAGCAGCAGGGGTTGGGAAAGAGGCAGTGGATGTGGGATATCCCAGGAAAAGCTCCTTCCCAGCAGGCTGGTGGAGTTCAGGGCCTTTAGCCCCTGTTAAATTCGGGGTTTAAAAGCCAAATCCCCAAAAAAACAGCTGGGCAGAGCCTTCCTGAGTGCTGGGAGAGCACAGGACAGGGGCAGAGCACTGGAGCAGGAATTAAACTGCACCAAGAGCTCTGTCCCAAAGAGATGGGACCCAAATCCCTTTCCCAAGGGGGCAGGGGAAGTGCTGTGGCTTCAAAAAGCAACATCAGGACCCCAAGAACTCCTGAGCATCCCACAGAGAGCAACATCAGGACCCCAAAAACTCCTGAGCATCCCACAGAGAGCAACATCAGGACCCCAAAAACTCCTGAACATCCCACAGAGAGCAACATCAGGACCCCAAAAACTCCAGGTTTGAGGAGAAAAGGCAGCAAAAAGGGGGTGTCAGACCCCGAGCTCGGCAGGACAAGGAGCAGCTCTGGGACAGGGGACACGAGGCAGCCCTGGGGACACGGAGAGGTCACCAGGGCTGAGCCCCTCGGAGCAGCAATGTCCCCTCAGTGCCACCACGAGCCACCCTGGGGACACCACCAGGGTGTCTCTGCCGAGCTCCACAGCCCAGTGAGCCCGTCCAGGGAAGGGCAGGGGGTGGGAGAGGGGCAGAGCACACCCAGGAGGGGCACCCCGGTGTCCCCAGGCTGAGCCAGCCCCGAGGTGACACCAAACCCCGGCACAGAGAGGTCAGGCCAGCAGCTCCAGCACCACTGGAGATGCAGGAAGAGCCCTGGAAAGCAGGGTGGGGACGAGGTGACATCTCAGCCACTTCCCAGCCTGGCTTCACCCCCCTCATCCCCCATTCTGACACTCCAAGGTGAGCAAAGCCAGCCCCAAAACTGCCATCCAACACTTAATTAGGTAGATCTCAGCTTCACAATAATAATAATAATTAAAAAATAAAAAAAAAAAAAGAAAACTCACAAGCTTGCAACAGCTTTAGAAAAGGCACCTGGGGCGCCGCCTCGGCTCAGAGCGACACCCAATATTTTAATTTTGGATTTTCTGGAGGGTTTTTTTTAAAAAATATAAATAGCTCTTCATCTTAAAAATAGATCCTCAGCTTGAGGTATTACAGTAGCCTGTGTCTTGGCAGTGTAAGGACAAGGAGGAGATTTTTTTTTTGTTGTTTTTTGTTTTTGTCGTGTTTTTTTGGGGTTTTGTTTGGGGTTTTTTTTGTTTTGTTTTGTTTTTTTTAGCTGGAGACAGTCATGATGTAGTTTTTGGAAGGGCTGGTACGGCCCAGCATCATCTGGTTCTTGCAGGTGAGCATCCCTCCGTAGGAGCTGGGGGGTTTGGCGGCCTCGTACAAAACGCAGATGGATCCGTCCTCTCCGATGCGATAGGAGACCTCGTAGGGATCCACCCAGAGCGTCAGCTCGCTGGGCAGGAGCTGGTAGAGCTGCGGGAGGCTCAGTCCGATCTGGCTCGCTGCCTTGCTGATTATGGGGTCCATCCTGTGGTTGATGCGGATGCAGCGGTAGCCGGAGCCTTTGAAGGGTTTCTCGGGGAACCAGTGGTGTTTGTAGTGCTCTGCAAGGGGGATGGGGGAGAGCAGTGTTATAGATATATTTTATATTTTATATATATTTTATATAGATATATTTTATATAGATATATTTTATATAGATATATTTTATATAGATATATTTTATATTTTATATATATTTTATATTTTAGATATATTTTATATTATAGATATATTTTATATTATAGATATATTTTATATTATAGATATATTTTATATAGATATATTTTATATAGATATATTTTATATTTTAGATATATTTTATATAGATATATTTTATATAGATATATTTTATGTAGATATATTTTATATAGATATATTTTATATTTTTAAATATATTTTATAGATATATTTAATTTCAAATATTAAAATGAATGTTATGTGTATGAGAAACTTTGTTGTGTTAATGTAGTTTATTTCTGTTATTGAAGAAATTTAGGAATAGCGGTATAATACATATATGTTAGGCTATGGCATAGTATAAATAAATAAAAAATAAAATAAAAACTGCTTTTGTTTGTATAAACCAAAGACTGGAAAAAAAAAAGGATAAAGAGGAAACCCAAAGACGGAAAAAAAAAATAGCTGGAGAACTCCTGCATTTGTAAACTCTCTTATCCAGATGAAGACAGCAGTGACCAGAACTCTGCTGGGGAGGAATTTATTGCATTTCTGGTATCAGGGAATGTAAATCTCAAGAGGATTGATCTCTTGGGAAGGGGGCAAGAGAAAACTGAACAGAAGAACACCAAAGATCCTAAGGAGAATGTCTGAATATGGGTGAGAATTTCTGGATATGGATGAGAATTTCTGGATATGCAGCAGGGTTCTGTTTTTAAGGGACAATCCTTTGTCAGTGAGGTGAATGCAGAGACACCTGGCCAGATCTGTATACTTTATTTTTTTCTCCTAATTGGTTTTTTTTCTATTAAACTTTTAAATTCTATAAAAATTATGTGAACCTCGTTTTTCACAGCAGTGAGCTGTGATTTTTCCAGGGTGGGAAGTGGAGTTTAGGGCTCTGGAAGGGAATGGGCAGAGCAGTGAGCAGGGGGAGCTCGGGAATGGATCTTTCCCAGGTGGGAAATGGAGTTTAGGACATTTAGCCACCGTAGAATTTCAGATTTAAAGGTGAAATCCTGCACAACGCCCTGTGGAGGGTTTGTCAGGGTGTCTGCAGGGCTCTGGGAGGGAACAGGAGTGAGCAGGGATATCCCTCAGGCAGATATCCCTCATTTAGCCCCCACCAAATTTGGGGTTTAAAGGCCAAACCCCAAACCCCAGCAGGGCAGAGCAGGAATTAAACCACCCAGAAAGTTGTGTAGCGAGGAGATGGGACCCGAATCCCCCTCCCAGGGGTGGGGCAGGGGATGGGGAGGTGCTGCTGGCACCGAGTGCATCCCCAAAATCCACGGCAGGACCACGGCAGGGGCTGCCCGGGGCAGATACGGTATCGGGCACCCCAAAGCTGCCCCACGGAACCCGAGCTCAGGAGAATTTGGGGCTCCTTATCACAAAGCGGCCACCCCTCCCTGCGGCCGATAAGAGCCCCGGGCTGGGAGGGACCCCCAAAAACCCTCCGGGGGGAGAGGCAGGCCCCGCTGGCACCGGGAGGGGGCTCGGGATCATCCCGGGGGTCTGCAGTGCCACACTGGGGCTGCCAGGACCCCGCGGGGACACGGGCGGCTCGGGGGGGACACAAAGGCACAGACGGAGCTGGGACAGCCCCGAGGGGTGAGCGAGACCAGGGGACACCAGGTCCTGGAAGGGACACGGGGAGCACCAAGGAGGGACACCAGGTCCCATGAGCGACACGGGAGGGGACAGCAGGTCCCGGGAGCGACACTGTTGGGAACAGCAGGTCCTGGAAGGGACATGGAAGGCATCAAGGAGGGACACCAGGTCCTGGAAGGGACGCGGAGGGCATCAAGGAGGGACACCAGGTCCCACGAGCGACACGGGAGGGGACAGCAGGTCCTGGAAGGAACACGGGGGGCACTCGGGAGGGACACCAG